ATGGGAACAAGCAAAATCCACCTATTCAGAGCGGAGACACTATGCCAAGATATACCAACTGCAAGCTAAATCCTCTACTTGCAAGCAGGGGGAGAGGAGTCTCTCGATGTACTATTCTGATTTGACATCGATATGAAAAGAACTTGATCACTACCAGAATGTGAATTGGAAGTGTAATGAAGATACAAAGGCATATAAGTCACTTGTATCTCAGCAATGGGTCTTTGCCTTCCTCCTAGGGCTGAATCCTTCATATGAGTCCATTAGGTTATAGAACTTGGGTAGTAAAGACTTGTCATCAGTTCAGGAGGTGTATGCCTTAGTGTAGTCAGAAGAGAGTAGAAGTGTGATGAATTGTGTAGAGGGGGAGTCAGTTGCCTTAGCTGTCTGGGGAAATTCAGATACAAATGTCGGAGGTACTTTTAAGAAAGGTGACTCTTAGAAGAGAACAAATGATAAGAGTAAACTTTGGTGCACTCACTGGCAGGAGACAAGACACACCGGAGATACATGTTCGGATCTTCATGGAAAACCTAAATGGGCACAGGATTTGGGTAAGAAGTCAACACCTGATCAAGGCAAGAAACCAAGTCAGCAGAATCAGAAAAAGTACAACTCAGCTAATATGGCATCTTAGGAGACTAGTTCATTGGTAACTCAGGAGAGGCATTCCGGTTCTGACCCTAAGGATGAACTTATCAACTCCTTTCGTGACCATTTGGAATTGTATGATAGGACTCTCCGCCAGATGGATTCTAGTCCTACTCCCTCTACCTCTTTCGCGTCTACATCAGGTAACACTGCCATTGCCCTCCATGTGTCTTCTCATACCACTGATTCTCCTTGGGTTATTGACTCTGGAGCGTCAAACCACATGACCGATAAGTCAAATTTATTTCAGACATATAACCTTCTCTCTGGGAGAGATAAGGTGAGACTAGCTGATGGTTCTTTCTTTACCATAGCTGGCCAAGGYACCATAMCTCTCCCACTCGGCCTTACCCTTTCTAATGTACTGCATGTTCCGAAATTACCTATAAATTTGCTTTCCATTAGTAGTATTACTCACTCCTTGAATTGTTTAGTAACTTTCTTTCCGTCTTCATGTGTGTTTTAGGATTTGGCCTTGGGGAAGACAATTAGTAGAGGAAGCATGGTGGATGGTCTCTACGTGTTGGAGAATAAAGCTGGTCTTGTGGCTACAAAGTCCATGAGTTCGTCCAGTGAAAGTTAAGCCTATTTATGGCACAATCGTCTTGGTCATCTTTCTTTTGAGTCATTAAAAGTTATGTTTCTAAAGTTGTTTGAGTCCTTGTCAGTGAGTCAGTTACAGTGTCAGACATGTCAATTGAGTAAACATTGTAGAAGTTCTTTTCCTTTGAGWAATAAAAKATCTGRATTTCCATTTCATATTGTTTATTCTGATGTTTGGGGCCCTGTTACTCTACCTACTGAGGCTGGATATAAGTACTTCATTACCTTGATTGATGATTACTCTAGATACACTTGGGTTTACCCTATGCGATCTAGAGATGAAGTGCCAAAAATTGTGAAAGACTTTCAATGCTTGGTGTTCACTCAGTTCCAAACTGAAATCCATATCTTTCAATTAGACAATGCGAAAGAAGACTTCCATAGTGATATCACGGAGTTTTTTGCTTCGAGTGGGTCACTTCAATGAAGCTCTTGTGCGAGGACACCCCAACAAAATGGTGTTGCTGGAAGAAAGAATCGTCACCTTCTCGAAGTAGCTCATGGCTTATTAATTCATATGAATGTGCCAACACATTTTTGGATGGATGCAGTTTTGTGTGCTACATACATCATCAACCGTATGCCATCTCGGCTACTAGAGTATAAGGCCCCACATCAGCTTCTATTTCCTACAGCTCCGTTGTTCACCATTCCGATGCATGTTTTTGGGTGTCGTTGCTTTGCCCATAACTTGTCCCCTACTCGAGGTAAGCTTGAGCCTCGGGCTATTCCTTGTGTTTTCCTTGGTTACCCTTTATTCTCAAAAGGGGTACTGTTGCTATGATCCCACCTCTCGCAAGTACTATGCATCCATCGATGTATCATTCTTTAAGAACCAACCTTCCTTCTTGGTTTCTCCTTAGGGGGAGAGTAGGGTTGAGGAGAAATAGGCGGCTCAAACTCAACTACCTCCTTTACCCGATCCTCCTCCATTCCATGTCTTTCATCGCCGCCATAAAAGCCAGTAGAGTTCAAGATCCGTGGAACTTGACACTATGCAACCAACATCATCGGATTCGCCAGAGGCAGATCCTTCTCATCAGCCAGGTACGCTCGCTCCTATTGATGTGCTTGTTCCTCTCAATGTTGATTCCCCTGTTATTAATGATCTTGATGTTCCTATTGCTAAGAGAAAGGGTGTTAGATCTTGTATCACTATTCATCCTATCTCTAATTTTATGTCCTATGATCACATTTCACCTTCATTCCGTGCATTCCTCTCTTCTGTGGACAGTGTCCCCATTCCTAAGAATGTAGCAGAAACTTTATCCAAACTGAATGGACAGATGCAATGCAAGAAGAAATTGATGCATTACACAAAAATGGCACTTGGGAGTTGGTGGAACTTCCTGGAGGGAAGGAACTAGTGGGT